CACCAGGATATATAAACCTGTACACACACACACACACACACCATTAGTACATTATAATCAACGCCAAATACTAAATAGTCATTATTATTACTATTACAATTCTGAAATTTGTGCTAAATATGAAATAAATAAAATAAATATTCATTTTTGTAGTAATATAAATGACGCTTGTATTGACAGTTTTATCAATATTATTTCACCAAATGACAGGGTCGTAAATAAACAGGAGCTTGTAGAAAAAAATGCAACCAAAATTAACAAAAATGCACCTCAAAATCATTAAAATCAGAGGTGAAAATAAATGAAAAGTGTTGATTGCAGCATTACATTTAGATCTGCTCAAGTTGCATCAACCAATTACACACACGTTTCTGTTTGTTTTGTTTTTCAAGCTAAGACAACCAATGTAAAGTCTTGATTTTATAATGCATAAAAATGTATCTTTTTAAAAATAGTTTTGTCTGATTCCCCACACATAACAACACTTCTGCATTTTATTAACCCTTGTGCGTCAATTTCTAAAAGTTACACAGAGGTCCTTAGATTACAAAAATGTCCCTGTCAAAAAAAAAAAAAAAGACAAAATATAGACAAAAAATTCTTTAATTTTCAGGTTTTTAAACAACTTAAATGGCAGTTTGATTATGTAATGCCATACATAATCATTCCTACATACTAAATGATAAGCAATTTTATTATTATTATTATTATTGCAGATGTCAATGATCGGCAACAACACTAATTTTGATGCATTATTTTTTGTGCAGTCAGATTTAAACAAACACAAATTTTTCAGTACATACATACAAAGCACACTCTGATACCCATACCAATACACCCACACAATTATAATTACATAACTTCAACTCAATTGGCCTTTTTTCCAGTAGAAGCAGAAAACTGGAAAAAAGTGAGAATTTGCTACATAAGCAAAACATGAGCAAATGGTACTATCAGGTGGAAAACAGTAAAAATAAAAACAGTAAATGTTTTGCAGCCTTGCCAACAGAATGAATACCTATTAACAAACAATGCATGATATTGCACTTAAATGGCACGGTGGATTACATTTGTAGTAGTTTTAATGGGTTTCAATTATATTTTTGTCCCCATAGTGTTTAAAGCATCACCTGAATCGGGGTCCTATAGCAGCTACGTGGCGGTTCAGGCAGCTCTTGGGCCCGCCGACGCTGAGAGACAGCGCCCTCTGCAGGACGCCGGTGAAGATCTCCACCTGATCCGCACTGCAGTACTTAGCGATTTCAAATCTCTGCACTAGAAACTAAACACACACACACACACACACACACAGTACTATAACATTCACTCATATGAAGAATATAATGATTTAATCATGCCGAGAAAGAGAGTTTCTGAAAAAGACAAAAAACTCCAAGGCCTGCACATTCTTTGGTTTCCAGCATATTCTGCATCTTTCTAACAGTGAATGTATGATTTTGAGATCCACATTTTCAAACTGAAAACATCTTGATGGATTTGTTTCAGCTTATGTCTTCTCCAAATGTTAACTGATGGACTGGAGTGGTGTGGATTACTTGTGGACTACTGTGATGTTTTTATCAGCTGTTTGGACTCTCATTCTGACGGCACCCATTCACTGCAGAGCATCCATTGCTGAGCAAGTGATTTAATGTTATATTTCTCAGAATCTGATGATTTTTGTTTGTTTGTGCTTAACGCCATTCCAGCTTCTGTGGCTATTTTCATGGCAAGAAATATTACGGCTGAATTACATCATGTTTTTATCATTTATTTTTGCTAAAACCTCAAGAACTGTATTTGGCTTAACTGTTAAAAATCTCTTCAAAAGAGTTAACTGAATAAAAACGTTTATCTCCTGGGGTTGATGGTGGCAAAAACTCTAGTCTACTACACACAGTTCTCAAACGTCTTGTGAACAAATGTTCTGTAAGTGTTTCATGGTCTTATTTTAGTGACTTAAATTTTAGTTTTTCACTAAGCATGCATAAACGTTGTTTTCTCAA